TTTAAGAGGGGAGGACTTCCACTCCCAGAATCCCCCAGCCAGCCTGCTTTAAAAGTGGTGGACTCCAATTCCCAGAATCCCTTTGCAACCCTCTCTCCGACCTGGAGCTGAGCCCCCCCCCCCACCTCCCCATAGGTGAAATGGAAAGAAAAGGATGCTACCCAGCCTGGGGAGCCCCCCAAATTCCACCCCCCCCCATGATTTGGGGAGGGGAAATGCTGGGTCCGGCCGCAAAATCCGAGGGAGCCCCCCCCCTTCTCAAATCACCCGCTGTTTTCAAACAAAACCGTTTCTTGCATTGCGTAGCCCTGAACAGCTGCCGAGACACACCCCCTCCCCAATGTCATCATCACGGGGATGGGTCCCCAACCTTGCAGGAGAGAAGGGGGACCCGAATTCCGCCCCCTCCCCAATTCATCCACCAGACCCCAAATGGAGCAAGATAAAAGGAGCAAAACAGGGGGGGCAGCCACACCTCCTTTTTCTCCATCCAGGCTTTGTTGACGCAGCCGCTGGGGAAGGAGACCCTCAGAGCCCCCCCCCCCATTGTCACCACCACCCCACTGCACACACACACACACACCCCGCAGGAGCCCCCGAATCCTGGTTAGGAACGCCCCACGAGAACACCCCAATTTGAAATTGGGAGGAACAAAGAAATCCGCCAAGTTGGAAATCCAGGTGAGAAGGGGAAAAAGAAGAAGCCCCCTCCTCATTTTTTCTCCCCACCCTCTGATATTGCAAAGACAAAGCCTTCCCCCCACCCCACGCGTGTTTGGGGAAGGGGTCGCCCCCTGGAGAAGGGGTGATCGCCTGCTAAGAAGACCCCTCCCTCCTTGGCCAGCCCAACAGCAGCTCTTAGGGGGAGAAGGAGAGGGGAAGATAGGGGAAGGGGTTCCCGGCAGAAGCCCCCCCTACCCACCGTAGGTGCAGTTACAGCAAAAACGGACGATGAGCAAGATCTCCATGGCACCATGGCAGTATCGGGGGTCCAGATTGACTCCAGAGGTGGGAGAGGGAGAGGGAGAGAAAGAGGAAGGGAGAGGAGGGGTGAGGGGCTGCCTGACGCTTCCAGCATGCCAAACAGGGAAGCCCCCCTCCTCTTTCTCTCTCTATCTCATTCTCTCTTTCTCTCATTTTCATTCTCTCTTTCTCTCTGTCTCCCTCTCTCTTTCTCTCTTTCTTTCTTTCTTTCTCCCTCTCATTCTCATTCTTTCTCTCTCATTTCTCTCTGTCTCATTCTCTTTCTCTTTCTCTGATTCACATTCTCATTCTTTCTCTCATTCTCTTCTCTTTCTCGTTTTCTTTCTCTCTGATTCATTCTCTCTCTTTCCTTCTCTCTCTTTCTCTCATTCTCTCTCCCTCTCTCTCTTTTTCTCATTCTCTCTTTCTCTCATTCTCTTCCCTTTTTCATTTTCTCTCTCTCTGATTCATTCTCTCTCTTTCCTTCTCTCTTTCTCTCATTCTCCCTCCCTCTCTCTTTCTCTTTCTCTCTTTCTCTCATTCTCTTCTCTTGCTCATTTTCTCTCTCTGATTCATTCTCTCTCATTTCTCTCTCTCTTTCTTTCTCATTCATTCTCTCTTTTCTTTCTCTCATTCATTCTCTTTTTCTCTCTCATTCATTCTCATTCTCTCTCTCTCTTTCTCTTCCTCCCTCTCATTCTCATTCTTTCTTTCTCATTTCTCTCTTTCTCATTTTCTTTCCTTCTTTCTCTCTTTCTCTCTCCCTTTCCCTCTCTTTCTCTCATTCTCTTCCCTTTCTCATTTCCTCTCTCTCTGATTCATTCTCTCTCCCTCATTTCTCTCTTTCTCTCTATCTCATTCTCTTTCTTTCTCATTCTCATTCTCTTTCTCTCTCATTCTTTCTTTCTCTCTCTCATTCGTTCTCTCTTTCTCTCTCATTTTCTCATTCTCTATCTCATTCTCTCTTTCTTTCTCTCTTTCTCTCTCATTCTCTTTCTCTCTCTCATTTTCTCATTCTCTATCTCATTCTCTTTCTTTCTCTCCCATTCTCTCTCTCTCATTCTCTTTCTTTCTCTCTCTCATTTCTTTCTCATTCTTTCTTTCCTTCTCTCTGTTTCTCTCTCCCTCCCTCTCTCTTTCTCTTTCTCTTCTCTTTCTCATTTTCTCTCTCTCTGATTCATTCTCTCTCTCTCATTTCTCTCTTTCTCTCTCTCATTCTTTCTTTCTGTCTCTTATTCTCATTCTCTCTTTCTCTTTCTATCTCATTCTCTCATTCTCATTCTCTTTCTCTCTCTCATTCTCTCTCTCTCATTCTCTCTCCCCTCTCTTTCTTTCTTTCTTTCTTTCTTTCTCTCATTCTCATTCTCTCTCTCTCCCTTTCTCTGTCTCATTGCAACCAGCACTCTCGTTCATTGCGGGCACCCCAAAAGAGCAGGCAAGGAGAGGCAGACAAAGGATGGGGAGACCCCACCTGACACCCCAAAACACACCCCCTTCCCCACCTCCCACCCAACCCCCAAAGAGGAGATCAGAAGCTGTTTACCTTCCATGGTGACAAAACTGTGAGTCCCTTTGACTTTCAGCTCCTGTAAAAAGGAAGAAGTTAGCGGAGGCCATCATGAATATTGAATACATAAGGGGTTGTATTATACTTTAGTTTTATTTAGTGGAGATAATGCCAGGACGGCTGTACCATGTCCCAACTTTTTTTTTTAACAATAAAGAATATTAAAAAAAAAGAAATGTTTCACTTGGCAACACATATTCTGGGCTTAGTTGGGATTGTAAATTGAGGATTAGATGTATTAGGAATGCCTAACCTTGGCGACTTCAAGACCTGTGGACTTCAACTCCCAGAATTCCCAAGTCATGTATATGGTTGGCTGGGGAATTCTGGGAGTTGAAGTTAATAGGACTTAAAAGATGCTGTGGTTGGATGCCCCTCTGTTTTAACATTAATGATGCTCCCTTCTTCTGCTACCAATTTTTAATGCCTTTATTTTCTGTTTTTTAATTTTAAAAGCTTGCACCAACATTATTGGTATTACTGATCTCTACGGTTAGAATAGAATACAATAGCAGAGTTGGAAGGGACCTTGGAGGTCTTCTAGTCCAACCCCCTGCCTAGGCAGGAAACCCTATACCGTTCCAGACAAATAGCCATCCAACATCTTCTTAAAGATTTCCAGTGTTGGAGCATTCACAACTTCTGGAGGCAACTTCTGTTCCTCTGATTAATTGTTCTAACTGTCAGGAAATTTCATAATAAACAACATTTTTTTTTTAAAGAAAGAAAGATTAATCTCTTGTTACCGACTCAGTCTCACAAGCTGGTTGCAGATGGTCCTCGACTTATAACCACAGTGGAGCCCAACATTTCTGTTGCTAAGCAAGACAGTTGTTAAGTGAGCTTTGCCCCATTTTGCGACCTTTCCTGGCACCGTTGTTAACTGAATCACTGCAGCTGTAACACGGCAGTTAGGTGAAACTGGCTTCCCCGTTGTCGTTGCTTCTCAAAAGATCGCAAAAGGAAATCAATCATGTGAATCCGGGACACTGCGACCGTCGTAACTATGAGTCAGTTGCCGAGCATCTTTTGGCCACGTGATCATGGGAATGCTGCAAACGGTCGCAAGTGTGAAAAGCGGTCATAAGTCACTCTTTTCAGTGCCATTGTAACTTCGAATGGTCACTAAATGAACTGTCGTAAGCCGAGGACTGCCTGTATTATGACATTTCACAGGATTAAACAGTCTTCCTTGAAACTCACCTCTGATATTTTCTGGAACTGGCTGTTAGCCTGGCTGCATTTTTCGGCGGTCTCTAGTGCAATTTTATAGTTGTCCACAAAAGCCTTGTACACCCCCAGTTGTGTAGCCTGTGGCAGAAAGAAAAAATATTAATTATGGAGAAAAACTGTTGGAATACATATTAGCATGCATTTTTTT